CTTTATTACCCTTGTTTTATGTTAAAAAAAAATAAGAATACCTTTCTATATCTTTCTCTTACGAATCTCTCTCGACTCACTTTACGATCTCTTTCATGACGGGGCCGTTAACAAAAACCGGCGACGACGACGAAAGCACATATTCTAGTTTTTTTGTTTTTTTTTGTTTTTTCTGTTTCTTGTTTTTTGTTTTTTTGTTTTTTGTTTTTTATTTTTTTGTTTTTTTGTTTTTTGTTTTTTGTTTTTTGTTTTTTGTTTTTTGTTTTTTGTTTTTTGTTTTTTGTTTTTTGTTTTTTGTTTTTTGTTTTTTGTTTTTTGTTTTTTGTTTTTTGTTTGTTGTTTTTTGTTTGTTTGTTTTTTGTTTTTTTTTTGTTTTTGGATCTATGTTTAATTGTTTTTGGGTTTGAACTTGTTAAGCTTTAAGGTTTATCCAACTATTTTGATATTTAAAACAATAAGACCAAAAGAAAAATACATAAAACCTTATAAATAAAAAGCCCATATAATAATAATCCAAAGAAAAAAAAATCAAAAATACATGANTTGTTTGTTTGTTTTTTGTTTTTTTTTTGTTTTTGGATCTATGTTTAATTGTTTTTGGGTTTGAACTTGTTAAGCTTTAAGGTTTATCCAACTATTTTGATATTTAAAACAATAAGACCAAAAGAAAAATACATAAAACCTTATAAATAAAAAGCCCATATAATAATAATCCAAAGAAAAAAAAATCAAAAATACATGATAGCTGTGTAGTATGAACCCATGCACTTGCATGCTTAATTAATCACTTTATACCACTCGGCTAAAGTGTATTTCGTTGTTCGTAATCATCTTACCAAGACTGGATTTTTTAAAACATACACGGGACCCACAAAAATGCTGACGTGGCACGTTAGAAGCCTAGAAATTGTACTAATATATATAAGATTTCGCCTTTTTTAAACTCATTTTTTTTAAATCTTTCATAATGAAACAAATCGTGAATTACAAAAGCAGGCATAAAATAGTAATAGGGATGATTAGCAAGTGATGTGGCTTTTATTTTTTGGCTTTAGAATAGTAGTTGTAGATTTTATTGGGGCAATTCACTATAATAGACTCTTTTGAATTTTTATCACAAAACTAGCATATGAAGTTGAAAGTCCCAATAATAACCTTTATTAATTCGCTGAATGACTTTATTATCTTTGTTTTTTGTTAAAAAAAAAAAGAATACCTTTCTATTTCTTTCTCTTACGAATCTCTCTCGACTCACTGTCCGATCTCTTTCACGACGGGGCCGTTAACAAAAACCGGCGACGACGACGAAAGCACATATTCTACTCTCTTCATTCTCTCTTTCCCGACGGAGGTACCAAGACAGTCGAAATCTCTCGACTTTGTGCGACTCGTCGCTTCTTCTCTCGAAAAATCCCGGCGAATCATAGAATTGATGGTAAATTTAGCTGATGGTAAAAAGTGAGGCAGAAACTAGCTGATGGGAGTAAGTTTAGCTTTTATTTAATGGAACTAAAGTGTTTTATTGGTTTGGTTTACTGACGAGTTTTATATTCTTGGGTTTTTGTAGGGTTAAAGTTGACACATGTGGATGAAGTCATTGAGGAGCTTTTGACGAAGGATTATTCTTGTGATATTGCAATGCCACGTTTGAAGAAAAGGTTTGTTCTCTTTTTTTTTTTGGGTTTAAGTGTAGCTGAATGCTAGTTTTTGTTTTATGTTAATTTGTTATTGTGATGATATTTGTACGTTGGAACAGAATGGTACTTTAGAGCCTAGGAAAAGTGTTTTGGAAGATGACTTTGATGAGGAAGAAGAAAGAAGAGAATGAAGGGATGGCTGAGGGTTCTGAAGATGAGAAGGTCACTGCTTTTACTCTGCAATAGTTTGTGTTTCTTCTGATTTGTGTTTCTATTTAGCAGCTCAATGTTGATACCAACTTCTTCGTTTACAGGATCATCACCGTAGGAGTCCTGAAAGACAAAGAGAGAGGGACAGAGAGAGATGGGAGACGTGACAGTCATAGACACAGGTATCTGAATCCGTGCCCTTTGCTATATACCATCTCTAAAGATTTTTTTCCTTGGGGTATGGTTTTGGCTTATGATTGTGGAAGCTGTTTGATCTGGCTAATGCTCACACATTCATGTCCAATATTCTGTCTTTTGAATGTCTGTTTCCTCTATGGCATTTTAAGCCATCAGAGGTTGCATACCCTTAAGATAAGCAGGTGAAGAAGGAGAAAAGGCTCTCAAACTGAAGGAAGGAAACTTACTATCTTTTGTTTCTGTTTTGGAGTCTGTTGATAGCGTAAACTTAATCCTTTGCTATCAGTTGTATTTGTCTCTGGACGGTAAATTTGTTATAGAATTGTGCAGATGGTGAGAAAGACACAGGTCAATTGGAGAGAGAAAAGGTGGACCACGACCGACTCCTCATCTTTCTTCAGGTTCTGGTTCTTCCTTTGGAGAGCCGGTTGGTCCATAACCGAATGGCCCAGAATTAGTTGGCTCAAATACCTCAGTTACCTCAAATGTCCAGGTACGGGGAGTTCGCTTCATCTTTCATAGTGATGATACAGGTCACGCAGTAACTATAAATCAGCTTGGTACTTCCTTTACCTGAAAATACTTTACTTTGGAAAATAACTACAAGAGACTGTTTGTCTTCAAGGTATTGATATAGGGATGTTCTTAAACTTGACTTTGTTAAAAAGATGAGAGTAGTTTTGCCTTTGCAATAAATTGACAGGTCTGCTTGAAGTTTTCATGATGTTGTAACTTTTTAGTATGAGCTAGCAATTAATCTACCTGGTTATTGCGTGATGTGGAATTTCAGGAGAAGAAGGAAATGTAGCACGCGAAGTTCATAGGTACGATAAAGCCATGTATGGTATCAGCCAATCAGAGAGAACTGTGTATTGGGAAGCTCGAAACGAAAGTAAAGAGGATGACAGAGGATCAGATTAGGAAAAGCTATCGTGAGGCTGCTCTGAAGCTTCATCCTGATAAGCTTTCTGCTGCTCTCCTTCTTTCTGACGAGAGTGATGAAGCGAAGCAAGCTAAGAAAGAAGCGATTGAATCTCACTTCAAGTTGATCCAAGAAGCATATGAGCTTCTCATGGACCTAACTAAGAGAAGAATATTTGACTTTACTGATGAGTTTGATGACGCAGTCCCAAGTGACTGTGCTCCTAAAGACTTCTTCAAGGTGTAGAAGCATTGAGAGATGTTGAAGAAAGAGTTCTTCGCTGGAAACTGATTTCTGATTGCATAGACTTGTAGAATTTGGATCAGATTTCCTTGTTTAGTCGCTGTAGTTGTCCGAAGTTAATGCTTTCAGTATCAACGGCCGATGCAAGTTCAGATGAGAGTTGTATCTGACCGATAAGTGATGAATCTGTGAAGTACACATTTTCAGTCGGTATGAAATCATTAATAGGGACTTCTTCGTCTACTTTTATTCAGGAAGGATGATCTGTGACACCATTGTCTACTCCCCTCTTTTCTTTTATTTCCATATCAAATTCTTGGAGAAGGAGTATCCATCGGATAAGCCGTGGTTTCGCATCTTTCTTTTGCATAAGATATTTAATAGCTGCATGATCAGTGTGAACAATGACCTTTGAGCCCACTAGATAGTTACGGAATTTTTCGAAAGCGTATACTACTGCAAGGAGTTCTTTCTCAGTTGTTCCATAATTTCTCCGAGCTTCGTCCAGAGTTCGGCTGGCGTAATAGATAGCATGTAGTTTATTATCTTTTCGTTGCCCTAAAACCGCGCCTACAGCGAAATCGCTCGCATCGCACATTATTTCGAATGGGAGACTCCAGTCAGGTGCTTGTACAACGGGGGCAGTTATTAGTGCTTTCTTGATCTTTTCAAATGCTTGTTGGCATTCTGGTGTAAAATCAAATGTAGTGTCCTTGCAAAGGAGAATAGTCAGGGGTCTAGCTATCTTGCTGAAATCCTCTATAAATCTCCTATAAAATTCAGCATGTCCTAGAAAGCTTCTGATGTCTCTTATGTTAGTCGGGGGTGGTAGACTCGTCATCACCTCTATCTTTGCTCTGTCTACTTCAATTCCGGCTGCGGACACTTTGTGTCCGAGTACGATTCCGTCATTAACCATAAAATGGCATTTTTCCTAGTTTAGGACTAGATTCTTTTCCTCACATCTCTCCAAGACCTTGCATAGGTTGTCGAGACAATTTTTAAAACTCGATCCATAAACTGAGAAATCATCCATGAATAGTTCCATGAAGTTTTCTATCATATCAGTGAAGATTGACATCATGCAGCGTTGGAAAGTAGCTGACGCGTTACACATACCAAATGGCATCCTCCGATATGCGAAGGTTCCATAGGGGCATGTGAATGTTGTCTTTTCTTGATCATCCGGATGTATCAGAATTTGGAAATATCCGGAATTTCCATCAAGAAAACAATAGTATTGGTGATTTGCTAATCTTTCCAACATTTGGTCAATAAAAGGTAGAGGAAAGTGATCTTTCCGGGTTGCGGAATTCAGCTTCCTATAATCGATACACATGCGGTGTCCAGTCACAGTCCTTGTTGGGATGAGCTCATCTTTTCCGTTCTTAACGACTGTAATAGCTCCCTTTTTGGGTACTACGTAGACCAGGCTTACCCAATTGCTATCAGAAATTGGATAGAATATCCCTGCATCAAGCAGTTTGATGATTTCCTTCTTCACAACTTCCTGGAGATTTGGTTTTATTCGTCTTTGATGCTCTATGGATGACTTCGATTCGTCCTCCAGATTGATCCGGTGCATACAAAGTGTTGGGGTCAAAATCGGTACGACGGAATCAATAGCCAAAATTCCCCGCAAACGCGTAAACGCAACAGTTTTATGAATCTCGAGAATCATTTTATAAAACTAGAAGATCGTTTTATAAGAACTCGAAGATCGTTTTATAAAACTCGAGAGATCGTTTTATAAAACTCGAGAGATCGTTTTATAAAACTCGAGAGATCGT